CTGACCTAGCACAGGCTCCTTGCAGCTGGCTCTCATTTACAACTCGATAGCAGCTGTCACAATGAAAGGATCAGGCTCATTATCTGATTTGTTTCTGCCATCACTAGTCTCACTGAGTCCATTAACAATAGGGATATGTGATTTTTAAATTACTGAATTACTCATCCTTCCATTAAAAGAGTCGACCTACAAAGTAAAATAGATCAGCCTCTTTCTGCAGTCAGTCCCTTCCATTTCCCTGTCTAGATGTTTCCATTTATTCCAGGAGTCCTGTTCTTATCAACAGTGGCCTTATCTGTCCTCTGCTCTATCAGTATGCTTAAACAAAGCAAGGTGCAGGGCAGGCTCTCGATACATGTTGATGAATGAGGGAAGGAATGAACAGACAGTTCACACCACAGGGTTTCTTGCCTGGACAGTCAGAGTACCCACCTTGGGATTTATTTCTTATTCTCATGTGAGTTTTCTGACTTTGTACATCTCAAAACTTCACAATGAGGCAATATGAAAAAAGTTTGATACCATTTGTTTGTCTTTGAGAGCCTAAGACCCAAAGGAAGACAAACTTATTTCCCTGGTGGTTGGCTCCCCCACCCCCACTGGAGGGAATCTATAGACCAGAGAACATGGCATTTTCTTGACAAAATAACATATATTCCCCAAATCTATCAGTTCAAGTCCGTGGCAGTGGTGGTGATAGTGGTGAGACTTGATCACAGAAATGTCAAAAACAAAAACAAATGAGCATGGTAAGAACCCCTGACAGATCATGCTACAATGACTGAAATTGCCACAGGAGCATGAGAAGATCTGGGGCTATATTATAATAACTGGATACGCTGTGGATATTCAACCTCATTCATGCCTGACAATGCTAATGTGATATAATCATATTTACCATTTTAGCCTGTATTACTGCTGTGTTTGAATGTGAAGTGACCCCCATAATCTCACCTGTGAGACAGTGCGAGAATGCTCAGAGGTGAGATGATCAGATTATGAAAGTGTGACCCAACCAATGGATAAAACCACTGATGGGTTAACTCTGTGGTAACTGCAGGCAGGTAGGGTGTGGCTGGAGGAGACAGGTCACTGGGGGCATGCCTTTGAGGTTGTATGTGTTGTCTCTGATGAACTGCTCTCCTCTGCCATAATGTTCTGCCTCATCTCAGGGCCAGCGCAATGGAGTCGGCCATCTATGAACTGAGACCTCTGAAACCATGAGCGCCCCATAAATTCTCTCCCCTCTAAAATTGTTGTTCTCAGGTCTTTCAGTCACAGAGGTTAAAGAAAAAAAAATCTGACTAATAATGTGCTGAGATAGGGCTTCCCTGAACCCCTAAGATTATGTTGAACCCCCATGTTGAGTAGACTCCTAGCATCCTGAATTTCTACTTCCCTACCACACTTTATCACAGTCTATTATAATTAGTATAACAATATTAAATTACCCAAGGACAAGAATGTACATGTCTAGCTTACTAGAGTTGAGTTAATAAGCTGAGATTATTAGGGTTTGACTAAGTGGGATGGTCTAAAATCATTTCAAGGTCTCACATTTGTACTTGCCGTAAGAAGCATCCCATAACATTGCACTGATAAAAATAGTATGAAATGAAATAGAATCGTTGCCTTTTGTCTCACCAACCTTTGCCTTCCCACATCAGCAAACTCTTTTTAAAATCTCCCTCTGGTTCCCATAGTCTATAAAATCTTAGAAGGTACCAGATGTTTGGAGGAGGCTGTCCCACACATCCTCGATTTTAAAGTGCATGCAAGATTTATTATAGCCATATAAATGTAATTCCAGCTTTGACTTTCATGTTCAAGAGCTGGGTGTAATCTGCAGCAGGACCTCTTGTCGAATAGAACAATTCTTATCTGTGCTGCATTGGTCTCAATGCCAAACACTCAGAATAACCACAGGATATGACTGAACCGAGTTCTGCCCACAAACTGTTTCCCTCTAGGAAATTTTAATGTAATGTAAACACTTTCCAAGAAAAACCATTTTGCATGTAGGCAACATTCAGAAGCTAGGGTGGGAAAAGTCATGCATGACTATACAGAAACACCTGGTGTTAAGTGCCCAAGCAAAGGCCTCAAATTAGGTTTCTCTCCTACTGCTGGTTTCTGATAGTGAAAACAGACTACAACTCCTCTCCTATGTCTTCCTGTCCTGACCAGCTCTGGGGTGACCTGCAGCCCACCCATTCATTTTGACCCATCTGCAAGTGGAAGTTGGGCTGTGCTTTGTACTGGGGAATTCCACATGCTACTAGAGAGCAGGAGAAACCATCTGCCAGAGGTGAACTGAGGCTTTTTAAGTACTTTAAAATGGGTCTTCTAGCATATTCTTCAAAGTTGCCTGCAATTTAAGGAAAACTTTTTTTAAAAAAAGCTTTTATATAAAAAGTAAAGTTCTTCCTTCTTCCAGCACTAGTTACTTAACAGGAATCTATGCAGGGCTCAGAGTTGAACTTCCTGAAGGAGCACTAGGAAATGCATCCTGAAGAGACTCCTGATTTTTTTTCCCCCTAAGATTAAAAGGAGACATTTCCCCTTACATGTGAACTGTCTTTCTTTTGACATGATCCAGATACCAACTGAATTCTAAATAGCTATTAATCACTTTCAATCAGTTCTTGGCAATGTAAAAATCATGATGATGTGCCTCCGACATAACTCTTGTTTTTATTGACAGTCGGTTGTCTGCCACTGTTAACGTTTTAGATGAGCACATAATAATTAAAGAAAAAAAAACACAAAATGTATAAACTGGGATGTTCATGTAGCACACACAACTGACAGCAACAGGAGAGAAGCCTTTGATAAAGATGCCAGGACTCCGGGAATGATGAGCTGCAGGTGCTAACCAGAGAGAGGCTATTATACATAATTTTTGCTGGATTACCAATTTGCTCACAGATTTTTGAGGCCATACTGGTGAGCACTGTAACGCTGCCATCTTGGAGGAATCTGTGTTGCAAATGAAGTTGGCACTTTTGACTTATTCATATAATAAATGTGTGAACTAACACTTTGCAACCAGATGAGTATTAGCAAGAACATATTCTGCTCTATAATCTAGGTTGGCGGTTTATTCTCAATGCCATAGCAAAACCAGGAGAAAGAAAACTGGAAGAATTTTCTCAGAGACTTCCAGGACTAATAAAAACAAAAAATGACGAAGAACTGATTTGAAACACATTCACGTAGGATCCAGTATCACTTCCACTTTCCAGTAAGGTACAACCAACACATGGTAGGTTCTCATTTTCATTTTTATGTCAAATGGTTTTTAAGATATTCAATTTCACCTCCAGTTGGCATGTAGGTAACCCAGCTGATTAAAAGTATAAGGATTTGCTTTATGTTAAAATAGCCAATCAGCATTAAGAGAAAGAAAGTCAATTAAGAAGTCACTCTTCTTACAGTTTCAAAGGTGAATATTCTCATTCATCACCAAGACCTTCTTTACATAACAAAATCTACTTACTTACTTTCAGTAATAAATCTCAGGATGGCCAAGACAATGCTAGGATTTAGGGCAATCAAAATCGAAAAGCTTAAATGTTGTATAAGACTCCAAAGGATGCTATGAGCTTTAATCTGGCTTAAAATATGCAAATCTTTTCAGATTTCTTGATTAGATACCTTTTTATTTCATTATTTGGGTACCCTGTCTTTACTAAAGTTAATCTAAATCTTATATCAGAGGTCAAGTTTATTCTTATTTTCTATTTACAACTTCTTCCAACATTTTAGTGAAGGACAAGAATCTTATTTTGAGTTAGAACTCAACAATTAACTTTTTTTAAAGCTATTGTTTTTCAAATAAAGTAGCCTAAAATCATATATAGAGATTCTGTCCCACCACGGAAGGGAGAGAGAACAGCAATTCACCTGTTCTCTCTGAAATGATTTGGAGATTTAGTTGGGTGACTTCCAATTTAATCTACTCACACTAATATCTATTTTCTTCAACTTTAAAGCCCTTTCCTCTGGCCTTCTTAAGCAAAATAACGAGCTATCCAGTGGGTTTCATTGCCAAGGCCGAATGCCTGTAGCCTCAACAAGTCTGTGCAGAATGAGCTTAGCTTTCTGTGGATCCTGACACATCTTAGATCTTTTTCCTGTCCTACCAAATCTCGGATGTCAGAAGATTCTGCTGGTGCCTTCTGGTTTAGAGGTTTGTATCAAGGATGAAGGCCCTTGGAGGCTGATGAATGCCACTGCTATTTTCACCTCTCTGTAATTGCAGTAAATGCAATTGAAAGTACTTTTATTTGAAGGCCATTTGACAGAGGGGGAGAAAACACATTTACTCTTTCAAGGCCTGTGTATTTTCCTGGGAGAAGCCTGCCTATAAAATTTGTCCTTTTATCCTTGGATAGCTATTTGGGAAATATCTCTGGGCAATGCCACCTCCTGACTGATTTCTGCAACTGGAGAACAGAGCCATGATTCACAGCCCTTCCTCTGCACCTCCACCTCCTCTCCTCCTGCCTTCTCAAGACTGGAAGGTCTTTCAAGGCCCGTGTTCTTGAATCTTTCTTTTCCCCAGAAAGTTTGCATGTTTTAGCCAGAGTATTGAACTATCTTCACTGTAGAAGTTTAAGAAAGGAACTGTTTCCTAAGATCAGCGGCTAAGTTGAGGGAACAGAAATAAAAGAGAGTACTGTGAATTGGATTTTTTTTTCAAGATTCTTTTCTAACGGGTCCCTTCTCGCTGACATTCAACAAGATGACTTTCATCGTCATGGGAGCTATTCACTACTTGAACACAGCTGACACATGCATACCCAACAGGACTGTCCCATGCAGAACGCAGGAAAGTCTTACTTTTGCAGGATTAAAGAAAAAGAAGACAATGTTTATAATTTGCTAAAAGCTGTCTTTAGTCTCAAGTCATCATCCTTTCTGACCTGCCCATCACGCATCACAGACACTTGCTGTTTTCACATCTCAGTTTCCGGGACTGTTTAAATGTTTCTTACCTATAAACAGATTCCACTCCGTGTCCAGATCGGCCTGATTCGCCAGGCAGCCTTTCATGACATTGAGGCAGTAGTTGTTGCATGGTCTCACAGCCGGAAGGCCTCGACAGTATGGGCAGTACAGCATCTTCATGAGAGCACGGATGCACCCGGGGGTGGGGCTGACCTGCAGGTGTATCACAGAGAAAGAGAAAATCGGAAATGAGAAGGATGAGGGGAGGAAAAGGGAAGTCATTTTCTCCTTTTTTAACAAAACCAGGCAAAATGTCTCTGATCAACCTCAAAGAATTGAGCACAGTACTAAAGAGATGATAAGAACCGTTACCCTTTTGAATTCTTGCTCTTGAAGCCAGTCACTTCCCATTAAATACTTCTGCTCAACAAAGTAATATCATTTTTTTTTTTGGAAATGTCCCTGTCAACATTTTGATATCAATGCCGCTGCAATGCAGCCCTAAACCTTAGACTCTGCCCAACTGCAGTAGAATGTGGAATTATAAAATGCATGTGAAAGCAATTTGCCAAGTTAAAAGCCCTGTAAAAAATGTAGGTATTATTAAAGTTTAATGTGACACCTTTAGAAAAGTTTCCAACTGGTTACTTGACCCTTTCTAAAGGAGGTTGGCAGATATACTTCCTTTGTACCTAACTTTTTTGAAAGGATCAATATCAACCTGTCTGGGATTTCTAAGATCCGGGACTGCTTAGAAGCAATTGGAACTGTTAACGCATCATCTTCAGGCGTTTGCCACTGGGAATTTCTGAAAAATTTGTGGAAAATGGACACTGTATGGAATGTAAGCAGAAACTCTTACAGTAATTCTGAGGAGTTACTAATCAAACCACGAAGAACTGCTACTTACATGAATCAGAAACACCATGCTTCTAAATGAATTGATTCTAAACCAATAAGGACTTTTAAAAATCCCATTAAATTTTCTAATTTGACTTCAAGGCCGAAGAATGTTTAAGTCAGTGTAGAACAACAAGAGCAAACAACACAGAAAGCTCTTTTTCATGACTTGATGTGAAACTATTGTCATATGTATTTGGTTGGTTTTACATAATTTTGCTGTTTTAATCAAGGAACTGTATGTTGCTGTACTTGTGTTCCAGATCTGAGAAAAAGCTGAACAAAACCTACATCATTTGGACCTCTGTCAGAGTTGTGGGCTTGTCACATAGACTCTGGGTCCACAGACACCTACCTGATAAAATGGACAATCAGACATAAAGCATAACACAATGTAATGTTGGGACAGGAAGAAATATCTCCACATTGATGGACAGTTTACTAATTGCAGTAGCTCCTTCCTATCATGCTGTTCTTCATGTAGAAGTGAAGCCTGGAGATGTTTACTGTAAGCCTTTGGCTCTGTTACATTTTTTTTTTTTTATGGAGGTGGGTGGGTGGGTACTGGGGATTGAACTCAGGGGCAGTAGACCCCTGAGACACATCCCCAGCCCTATTTAGAATTTTATTTAAAGACAGGGTCTGAGTTGATTAGTGCCTCTCTTTTGCTGAGGCTGGCTCTGAACTTGGGATCCTCTTGTCTCAGCCTCCTGAACCTCTGGGATGATAGGCATGTACCATTGTGCCCAGTCTGTTAGAATGTCTTAATTTTACACTGAGCATTGGCAACATCCTTGGGACATTATTTTAGGAAAGGAAGTGCTTTCTTTATTGATTGACTTAGACACCAAAATTTCCAGTCATTCTTTTGAGATTATTTTTTTTGAGTTTTCTCTGAAATTTTTATGAAAATTTTCAAACACGGAAAAGTTGAAAGACTTTTATAGTAAGCGCCATATCCCCACTCTTAAAGTGAATGATGTACCTTTCTTCCATTTACTTTTTCCACAATCTATCCAAACCTTCTATTCATCCATTAATACATCTTGGTGTTTTAAAATATTTATTTTTTTAGTTGTAGTTGGATACAATATCTTTATTTATTTATTTATTTTTATGTGGTGCTGAAGATCTAACCCAGGGTCTCACATGTGCTAGGCAAGTGCTCTACCACTGAACCACAACCCCAGCCCAATACATCTTGTTTCTAATGCCAAGGTCATTTCTTTTATTATGTATTCCAGAGTAAATCCTCTTGGATTTTTTGGCTGCTAATTTATTATTGACTTGAATTAAAGAGAATCAACATGATCAACACAAGCAAGTCAGTGCATTAAGTACCTAAAGTGAAAGAAGTAAATAAAATTGCATTCTTTATAAAGGTATTTGTAGAATGGCCTCATATTCATTAATTCTAAAACTTAATATTTCTACAACATAAAAACACCAAAAATGGAACAGAAGTGAGAAATCTGGTGACATTTCTTTTGAGGACACATTAGTGCCATCATTTCATCTTCTCTGGATTGGCTATTTTATTGAGAATGTCAACTTTTATGCACAGTTGAGCAGAATTGTTTAAAATTTTTCTCTGAGCCACATGCATCCCAAGCAATCAACAAAACTTCAGAAGAAAAATTCTGTATTGCTGTATACTATATTAGTGTGGACTTTCAAATTCTTACCTGTTTTTCTAATTTGGCATAGTTACAAGCTTTCCTTGTAAGATTTTATTTTACAGAGTTTTGTTTTTCATAGCCCTGCAATTTCCCGCCTGCTCCATATGCTTATCTCTGGAGACCCACCTGCTTTCCCTCCTGTTGACTAAGCCATCTCCTCCTTTGACTGCTGGGTTTCTAATTTTCTTGCCATTTGTATTGTATGTCACCTTGCTTCTCCTTACTCAGTGTCCCAGTATAAACCTGGAACACTTGTCAATATTGGGGGTGCAAACTGGAGATCTCTGGGGCAGCCTCACCTGTCCTATTCATCATTATAACCTTTACCACTCAGCACAACACGCATATTGTATAAGGTATTATGCTTAGGAGCTGGCAAATCCTTAAGTGTTTTGTGATTGACCTATTATGTTTCCCAATCTCTTGGCCATACTAACATTCAAAGACACACACAAAGACCACACACACACACCCCCAACACACACACACACACAAGATGGCTTTATACATCTTAGCATTCAACTGCAGGTTTTTAACTTTGCCATCAAAGGCTATTGGTTGGATTAATTCCAAAGCTTTGTTATTTTTTTTTAAATTATATTGGAACCAGTACAATTTTCTCAGTCTGATATTTCAGAAGAGTCTCCAACTCAGAGTAGCAACCAACAGAGAAAATTGAGCAGCCTTAATAACCTAAGAGAAAAATGTTGTTGAAGTTAAATGTGGGTACCTGAGCACTTTTGGAAATGACATCCTTCTTGGTCAAATAAAGGGCATTTGAAGAAGAAAACAGAGTGAGGGGATCAGAGTTGAAGCTTTCATGTTCACACAAGACATTTTTTGAGCTTACACAACTGCATGCCTGAATTAAAATTTAAAGATTATCACTTCAAAATGAAGACTTTTGGAAGCCAGCTTCTGAGGAGAAGGCTGTTCTAAATGCCAATTATGTGAAGGGTGGCTTCTATTTTTAATAGTGTCTTATCATTGTATTACAACTACTATTCAAAAAATTGTTTTATTTTTTATTTTTTAAAATATTTTAAAATATTTTTAAAAATATTTTTAAATATTTTGATGGACCTTTATTTTATTCATTTATTTATATGCGGTGCTGAGAATTGAACCCAGTGCTTTATTTTGAAATTAATATAGACTCACATGAAGCTGAAGAAATAGTAAAGAAATAGTAAAGTCATGGGTACCCTTGTTTCATGTTCCTTCGAAGGCAAGATCCTATCCAGTGGTACTATGATATCAAGTTGAAGGGATGGACATTATTACATTGCTGCTAACCAATCCATAGATGTCCACAGTTTTCATTTTTTTAAAACAGTGAACGTTTGTGTGTACACACACAGTTCTATGCTTTTTTATCCCATGTACAGATTTGTGTCACCCCCACCAACATACATAACCATTCTGTGAGTACTGTGATACCTCTACCTCATGATCTGTCCCTGTCACCTGGCAACCACCAATCTATTTCTCATCTGTATGATTTTGTCATTTCAAGAATGCTATATAAATGGGATAATCTGGTATGTAACCTTTTGACTTTGGCTTTCTTTTTCTCACTAAGCATAATGCCCTGAAGGTCCGCACAAGTTCTTTCATGCATTAATAGTGCATCCTTTTTTATTGCCAAGTAGTATCCTATTGTTGGCTATCCAGAGTTTTTAAACTATTCACCCACTGAAAAATAACTGGGTTGTTTCTAGTATTTGTTAGTGGGCATAAAATTGCTATGAACATTCATGTACAGGTTTTTGCATGAGCCTAAGTCTATCTTTTTAGAACTAAGTACTAAGAATATAAATGATAGTTCATAACATCAGTACAATGTATAGTTTTATAAGAAACTGTCAAGTATTTTCTAGAGTGTCTGTATTAGTTTACATTTCCAACAGTGATCTGCGAGAGATCCATTTTTTTTCTACATCCTTGTCAGTATTTGAGTGATCACTGATTTTGATTTTTTAAATTTTAACCATTCCTATATGTATATCATCTATTTGAATTTTATTGTGATTTTTTTCCTCTGGATAATGCCTACCAGCATTCTAACCTGAATGGGTTCCAATTAATATCAGATCACCAATCATTCACTAGCAAGTCTCTGAACAATATGCAAAAATTTCAAAGTCTGAAATATAAATAAGTCTGCACATTTAGCAAAACCAACAGAAAAGAAAACTCACAAATTTTAAAAGCCAATAACATCACAAACACACACAGTCACACATTTGTAAATTTTATGAACCATCAGGAAAAAATTTCTTACTATAAAAAGTTTGTTCTTTTAGCAACAACAAAGAATACAATCTCTTTTAAAGAATAAAGTATTGGAATGATCCTTTTAGCTTGGTGTTGCAAATTTTTGTTTTTGTTTGAAAAGCACAGTTGTGCTTCCCAGATATTCAAGGTAGACTGGGAGATACACTTGCATAAAATCATACATGTATGATGATTTATTTTGTAGTTATTTGAGCTCTCACCTGACATTCACGACCCTTTACCAAGAATGTGCAATATTAGAAGAAAAAAAGCAGTCAGTGGCCACTCTGCTCCCATACCACTCTTGGAAAGAGGACAAAAGTTTTTGAGTCAACTGAGTAAGATTTCTGTGTAGAT